TTTCCTATTCTCTCTCTTTTCCTTACTATGTTTCATTCTGTGTATATATGTTTTAGTTAGTTATATGTTAGATATAGTTTCATTTATTAAATCCCTTATATTCACAACGGATTGTCTCTGTTTGCTGCTCACAGTTTGAAGTCAATGAATGTGTGAACCCTTGCTACATTTGCTAAATTAATGCGAGCACTTGACAAAGAAGGACAGTTTATTGTTGCGTGGCCAGAAAAATAAACATTCCTTGAATTGATGAATGATTATATTATCTGCTCGGTGGACGGACAGATCAAATAATTGTAATATTGATTCTGCTGCAGTTAATTCGAAGATATAATCTAAATATTTATTATGAATCATAACCAGTTATAATTCGTCATAAATATTCCCCTTTTTAGAGCTAATAAATAATAAACATTACAGTTTTGGTGGAGATACACGGGCGACATTCAAACTTGGTTTGTGAGCAAACAATATCAATTTATTTGTGTTTTTATATTATGCGCGCAGAGTGAGACGAGTCGCAGCGCGAACTCACTCTTTTGGATCGGATGGTTAAAAGCCACCTCCAGTACTGTATTTTAACAGCCTCTATCTGTCTAACATTTAGTCACTGTGAAATATTAAAGTAAACTGCAGTTTATAATATTAAAATTGTTCTCTAAAGACGAAGAAATCTCTTTGCAGTACATTTTAATATTATCAAAATCGCTGGTTGGAACGAAGAAATGTTCCTGCATTGCGATAAAGATAGATTTGAGCGATGCTCCTCTTATCATCTTTTAAAGGCCTTATTTTGATAGTATCGCTAGATTGAAGTCATTGTGAAGTTCCAATTTCATTTAACTAGACGATCTAACTCCCTTAGGTTTAACCGTTAGAGTAGCTATCTAATGTGTCACCTAATGCAGATTTGATCAGAAGAACACTGCGAGCCAGTAGACTGATTGAAATGTAAATGGGAGTTTTTAAAAACCTTGATCAAGTGAAATTTGTATAACAACAGCGAAGAAACCCTGTTGTTCATATTTTTATTTGGGTACCTGGCAGCGAAGAAATCCTGCTTCACACACATTGTGCAGATTTGCGACCGAGATAACAGGTGTCTGGTCTACACTCCGCAAACTGTTTGTACATATCACTTCATTGAACAGCACCCTTCAAGGTCATCACCATAACCTCAGTCATGCCAGTAGTCAAGGAGCAGATGTGTAGAACAGAACTAACAGAAGACCAACACTTTGCCGTGTACACAGTCTCTAACAACTCCACCTGCATAAATGACAGCGCGACTGCACCTCTGACCGCCCACAGCACAGAGGAATTAACGACAGCAGAGCCATACCCAGGTTTTGAGACACAAGTCGGACAGATCAAATAATTGTAATATTGATTCTGCTACAGTTAATTCGAAGATATAATCTAAATATTTATTATGAATCATAACTAGTTATAATTCATCATAAATATTCCCCTTTTTAGAGCTAATAAATAATAAAAACATTACAAAAGTTTTGCAAGCTTGGGGAACAAAAACGTTTTGTGAGAGCACACAAAAGTTTTGTGAGAATCTTGAGGGAGCACGAAGGATTTAGAAAAGAATGCAAAAGTATTGAAATTTAGTATTTCCTCATATCTATTTTTTGCCTAATCTGTGCTAAAGTTTTCTTGCTATTTTCCTTTGCAGTGAAGGACTGACGATAGAGGGCTGTGAAGCTTATGTGGAGCGTTGTAAATGCATGCTGGAGCAGATGAGTCGTGTTTGCCCTCAGATGGAGACTGATGGACTCTGCAACATCTGGATCATTAAACCTGGGGCCAAGTCACGAGGCAGAGGTGAGTAGGTGAAGACTGAAGGAAAGTGGAGTAAAAATACAGCAAAACTATTTAATTTACTTTGACTTTACTGTTATAGGTATAATGTGCATGAACAGGTTGGATGAGATATTGAGTTTAGTAAATGCAGACCATGGCATCATGAAGGACAGTAAGTGGGTGGTGCAGAAGTACTTGGAGCGGCCTCTCCTCGTGCATGACACTAAGTTTGATGTAAGACAGTGGTTCCTGGTCACAGACTGGAACCCTCTTACTGTGTGGTTCTACCGTGAGTGCTACCTCCGATTTTCCACCCAGCCTTACTCCACTCATACATTGGATAGGTGAGAAAACAAATGCCAAACATTAAAGGGATAGTTCACCCCAAAATTAAAACATTTACACACCTGCATGTAGTTAAAAATTTGTGTGTATTTTTCTGTAAAGCACAAAAAAGATATAACAATTTTTTTTTCAATAGACTTTCACTGCAATGACAAAAACTGTTGAAATTCTTGAAAATATCTACTTTTGTGTTCTGCAGAAGAAACAAAGTCATATAGATTTGAAACAACTTGAGTGCGAGTAAATGATGACAGAATTTCCATTTTCAGGTTGAACTATTCATTTAAGAGAGATTGTTTATTAGGCTTCAATTAATCTTTTTTTTCTGCTTTCCACCCTTAGTTCTGTACATCTTTGCAACAACTCCATCCAGAAGCATTTTCAACCAAGCCCAGATCGCAGTCCTTGTCTACCCGCTGAGTGCATGTGGTCATGTTCACAATTCCGCTCCTGGTTGGCTGCTTCAGGCCAGGATGATCTGTGGGAAGGGGTGGTTGTTCCAGGTATGCAAAAGGCCGTTATCCAAACTCTCTTGACTGCACAGGACAGTGTGGAATCTCGCAAAGCTAGTTTTGAGCTCTACGGTGCTGACTTTATGCTGGGACGGGATTTGCGACCTTGGCTGTTGGAGATCAATGCCAGCCCCACCATGGCACCCTCCACAGGGGTCACAGCTCGACTCTGCCCCGCTGTACAGGAAGACACTTTGCGGGTGGTGCTGGATCGACGCTGTGACCGCAACACTCACACTGGCGGCTTCCAACTCATATACAGACAGGTACACATACACAATGTCAAGATCACCAAACTACTTATCATATATACTACTCGTCAAAAGTTTGTGGTCAGATTTTTAAATCTTTCTTATGGTCTGGTCACTGAGGTTTCATTTATTTGATAAAAAATACAGCACAGTAATATTGTAAAGTGTTCTTACAATTTAAAATAACTGTTTTGTATTTTAATATATATAAAATTAATAAATTTAATTTATTCCTGTGATGACAAAGCTGAATTTTCAGCAAACAATATAAGAAATTCTCCTAATATGAATTTTTGATATATTGTTATTGTTAACATTTCTTATTATCTATGTTGAAAATAGTTCTGCTGCTTAATATTTTTGTGGAAACCATGAGATATTTTTTCAGGATTCTTTGATGATTAAAAAAATCAAAAGAACAGCGTTTATTTGAAATAGAATATATATATATATCTTTTCTGTGACTTTATCAATTTAAAGTGTCCTTTCTGAATTAAACTATTATTATTTGAAAAAAAAAACACTGACTCCAAACTTTTGGTGGCTTTTGACAATTAAATATCTGCTTTTAAATAATTACAAATTGATAGATTTTAATCAGTGGGGGTAAAATGTAATTGTCTTGAAAATGTCACAGAAAATCTAATAGCTTTTGGGTCCTAATAGTGTCCTAAAAGCAAACTTTATTTTCTATATGCAACATCTTGTCTTTTTTTCCCTTCAGGCAGCAGTAGAAGTTCCTCAGTATTTGGGAGTGAATCTTCTCGTGGAGGGGACTTCAATCAGGCGTCCTCGTGCCCCTGTTTACAAGCCTCTTATTCAGTCTCACCCTGATCCGCTATCAAAATCCAGCAGTCACAAGTCTTCACTCATAAGCAGCCATTGCATTTCTGGTAAAGAGAACCAATCAGAAGAGGTAAAGAAGGCCTGGCCTACCCTCTCCTCCCGTGAATTCACTCTAGAGAAATCTTTGATCTTTCAACCTAAACTGAGGAAATGTCCCCAAAGACTCATCTTGCCCTCAACCTGTTGTGTCCTTCCCAGCCCAGCAGAACTTCATCCTCAAAAGCTCTCACACACTCACACCCAGCCCGATCACCCCCCTACACACAGGACACGCAGCAACCTTCCATCGCTTTACCGTCCAACCCTATCACTGGACGTAATAAATCTACGACCCAGACAAACGCTCACTTCCGGTCGCTACAAACATGAAACACATACAGTCAATACATCTTATCCTGTCTTACGCATGCAGAAATACCTGTCGCTAAACCATAGACTGACCATGGACACTTTTACGGCGAGAGAAGGGCCGAAGTCATCCTGAGGAACCTTTTGAAGAACATGATCTCATTCAAACAGATTCTTGTGTGATAATATGACCTAAAAGGAATGAATACATTTTAGATTGCATCAGTTGTATTGTGAGTTTATATTTCAATGCACTGTATTTAAAACCCATATACCTTGGCAATCTACTGTCAGAAATAAGAAAGAGAACAGCATATTAGTTGAGGAAGAGGATTCCAGCACCTTTTTCCTGAGCACAAGCCTTTTTTTTAATCAGTTTTCTTCAAAAAAAGATCTTATGCAGAATATTGACTGACCACTTCCATATAATGGAAGCATACCTTGGCCAGGGTCTAAGTTCCAAAAAAGACCAACAAGCACATAAACAGTGCATTTGACTATACAACAGCTTGTAGAATTTTGATTTTTTTTGGGGGTGAAACACATCTTTAACATAATGCATGAAATTTAATGTAAGATATACTATAGTAAGGTACTATTGTGGAATGCCTAATTCTGTAATATATTGATATGGGAATCTTGACTAGTATTAAGCTTAATGGTGCTAAATTTTGTATTCTTCAGAAACAATCAGGATGTTTCCTTAGGAGCTGTTCATTGACAATGTTACTTATTGGAAACACTAGTGACATTCTCAAAATTGTAACATTTTATGCAATTTGAATCAAGCTAAGTTACAATTAGATTTTATATAACTAATTTTGCACTATTATATGATGGTAAACCTTTAACCAAACTCACCACTAGATGGAGGTAGCATTCATCTTCATAATTTTTGTCAAGGCTTATCATCATGGGTATAAATAATATAGTATCTTTACATGCTAAATCCACTATGATGGTTTGTTATAATATGTGTTAATACAATTTGGTATGTCATTATGTCAAAAGGACAGGCTTTTAAGGACATTTTTGTATTTTTGCATAAACGATCATCCCGATCATCTAAAATAAAAGGGAACACTTAAACTCCTTGAAATCTCTGAAATATCTGTGCGACTTATGCTCACTTAAGTCTCTATTGTTGTTTTACTCGACATATATCATTTTTTTATTTATTATATTTCATTATTTTTATCCATTATAGGGGTCATATGATGTTGCTAAAAAGAACATTATTTTGTGTATTTGGTGTAATGAAATGTGTTTATGCGGTTTAAGGTTAAAAAAACGCATTATTTTCCACATACTGTACATTATTGTTTCTCCTCTATGCCCCGCCTTTCTGAAACGCGTCGATTTTTACAAAGCTCATCGTTCTGAAAAGCGAGGTGTGCTGTGATTGGCCAGCTATCCAGTGCGTTGTGATTGGCCGAATACCTCAAGCATGTGACGGAAATGTTACGCGCCCCTATCATATTGTCGTCAGGCCGGAGCGATGATTAAAAAACATGAAAACCCATTATAAACGAGGCATTCGTTGCATCCAGTGGGGACATAATTATGGATTATAATGACTTATACTGCATTGCGCCGCCTAAAAATAAAACCATGTCTGCCTTTGTGATCGGAGAAATTACAAACAACAAGCCCTGCTCTTCACTGCCCAAAAAACTCACTTTAAATATATAAAATATAAAAACTCTTTAAATATAAAAAACTTACTTACAGTCTTTGAGTCAGAACAGCCAGCATTGTAGTCTACGCTCCCAGGATCAGGAAACAGTCCTCCATAAAATGTGCTGCACACATCTGAATATTTGGGTTGAAGTGTTCTGTAACAGTGTTATAAATACAACTTAACCACTGATTTCAAGTCTTGTCCATTTTTGCAAGGCCAAACAAAGTAGTTTCGCTTTCACAACAAAACACAGCGTCACACACGGTGGCCTAGAGTGAGCAGAGGCCGGGGGCTAGTGTGAGGAACGGCCGGAGGGCTAGAGTGAGCAGAGGCGGCGGATTTGACGAAGGAGGGCTTGTGGCAACTACATGTGACGACCCCGGGCTGGACTCCGCTTCGTCAACGGTGAAAGCCAATCCGGCGATCCACAGCGCGAAGTTGATGTATTTCCTCAGTGACCAGACAGCGCGAAGTTGAAGTATTTCCTCAGCGACCAGCACGGATCAGCTCCAGGCATGACGAAGCAGATATCGTCCTCTTTTGGAAGGCCAAACAAAGTAGATTCGCTTTTCACTACGAATCACACAGTGCCTTCACGACATGGCGGCGGCAACAACAGTACTACAGTGAGCATAAAAGTTACGCCTTCTTTCTTTGCGTGACATTTGGGCGGCGTTATGCAAATCTTCCCACATAGTGATGTAGGTATGTGGGGGCGTGTTAGAACGAGCCGTTTTAGGTAGGCGTGGCTGACTCTTAACTTTTATAAAGAATATCTCTTTGGATTTGAGACTTTAGTCTTTGCAACTTTACAGATCTTCTTTATGCACCAAGAGCTTGTAACACTTCAAAGAGAAAGAAAAAATTGAAATCGCATCATATGACCCATTTAACATTTATATGAAGACATTTTCAGAATGTTTGCATTTGACTGTAATTTAGAGACTCTGCACTCAGTCACATATCCAACACAAGCAAATCGAGACTGAAAACTTTAATACCAACAAACACTCACTTTATACACACCCATTAGCAGACACTGTTACAAATATTACTCACGTTTACCTTTTAGCAGATCTCAAGATCTTCTAAAGATGTTTGTCTGATTAGGAACAGCTTGTAGATAAAATCTAAAATACTTCATGAGGGAATTGTCTTGTGAAATGTGAAATGTAAATGTAAAGTTCCCACTATCCACCAAGCTTTTGCATGGCAAAACGCTTGTTTCCTTTTATCACTTTAGAGTGTCTATAACGCAATATACCACGGAGGTGGTTTATTATCCATATGGCAATAAATGGGTATAATACATACTTTAATAAGCATAATTTGCTATGTAGATGTCTGATGCCAGATGTCTACGTAGGAGAGTTGTCAAACCTCAAAAGAAAAAATGCCAGAATGTGGTAGCAAATCAACCAAACACATCTATCACCCCCTTCTTACTTTCTCTGTCACACACATGTTGGGGGTCTGTGAACTCTGTGTAACCTACAGAGGCACAACTAATATGCACCACCAACCATGGCCATAAAAACCCATAGTGATACTTACATCATACATATGTTCTACATTCAGGCCCATACATTGCTTAAACAAGTCAAACACTTTCTTAATTTTTTCTTTTTCCTGAATTATTTCAATTATATTATTCATACAAATAATTTCAATTATATATAGGCCTAAATATATATCTATATAGAAGAGAAATGTATTCATGTTTCTGTAAGCCTTGTACTTACATTTAAGTATCTCACATGCAAATCTTGACAAGTAATTACAGAGCCAAAAAAAGTAGGCATGCATGTATGTACACATTTTTTAACACTCCTAGAGAATTGTCTTGCTTTTCTTAGTGGAGCTACACCATCAGCGCTGTGGTGATTGATTGATAATCCAAGCAATCAGCAAATGTCATCTCTCTGCTTTGGCTTTTCCTCAAAGATTCTTGACTGTCTTCCATGATGGCTTGACAGAAGTTCTTTGGAAGTACAGCATGGAAAGTACTGTATAAAAAGGCTGGAATGCCAGGTCGGTGACCCATTGAGCTGTTAACTAAATGGGATGATTAAACTAGGAGAGAGACAGATAGCTGGGAGCAATGGGTTTAAGTGTAAAAAAAGAATCATGAGACTCTAAAATAACATCTTAAGCCTCTTAAGCCCAGGAGGAAAATGACAACTTGACAAAAGAGCAGGATATTAGCAGGGCAGAATTGCTCAGTTTAGTGGTTAACATGCTTGCTTATCATGTACAGTGGGTACGGAAAGTATTCGTATTTTATTATTTTGATTTTATTATATAAATATTTAAATTTTTTATGTTGTGTTTCTTTTTTTATAAGCATGAAACAGAGAGATTTTAGGGAGAGTTCAGGCTGATCCTTTTCCCAGTATTTCAGAATGACTGCATTTCAAGATTTCATGCTAATAAAACATAAAAACAATTAACGTTGTCAGACTGACTCAGTGTAAATCTATTTAAAGTCAGCAGTTCTGGGGCGTCATCTCTTCTGAGTGACATAGGAACGCTAAGTGATTTATCAGCTCTCTGACATATTACCATCTGCCCTGTAACCACATCATAAAATATGAACACACGTTTATATGTGCAATATGTGCAGAAGTTGTGTGTTTGCCTGAATGCTGTGTGTGTGATTGTTTCTTCAGTCATCTGTTGCAGGACAAAGGATTGGTTGTCGTCATCACTATCTTTCTTCCGTTTCTCTATTAGAATGTCCTCTGGTCAGTCAGCTCTTTAGAGGTGTAATTAAACTAAAAAGGTAAACACTGTCATTATTTACACTCATTCCTAAAATTTATTAGAATACCAATGTACTGTACAGCAGACAAGATGTCCATGAGGATCTTTGTTGTGATTACAGAGGTCCCATGAGGAGAGAAAGGAGTTGTGCATTACATAAGAGGCATAAATATAGTCTGACTGTACATATGATGAACAGATGACAAGAAAAACACCCAAAGCTTCCTTGAATTTTAGTGGACAGCTGAGCCGGAGTATTCAAAACTATGCAATCTCAAAAACTCATGTTAAACCTGGTGAACATGTGCAGTCCTGCTCTCCTGCCATATCTGATCGGATTACAACACTGTTAATAAATTGTATATGTACAGTATCTCTACTCAGAATCTCAATCTTCTCAATATTTGAAATTACAATAAATCTCAAATTCCCAGCCTCTATGGAAATGAAAAAGCATGCCATGAGAAAGCATTGACCTTAATGCACTACCACACCTGAAGGCTACGTATGAAGGCTAGTGTGCTGTTTAAGCAGGTAAAACATGTTGGAGTCATACACTGACATGGTCACCTTCACCTGCTAAACTGCTGTACATAGGGACACTGCAGACAGATCATATTTGCTTAAAGTGACTCACTTTCTCATCTTTCAGCATCCCAGCTGACACTGAATAAGCCTGTTCCCCATTCCTGTCCTTAAGGAATGTGTGTGTGCTTGTGTGGGTGTCAGTTCATTTCTCCCCTATTTTCTGACACTCACTAACATACAGAGTGGCATCCTGCATCCTGTTTTCATTCCAGCTATTCCATTTATTTTTTGATAAATGAGAATACATCCAACTCTAATGTGCATGAATGCATTCATCTAATAATGTGCTTTCAAATCCATCATGTGTATTAAATGTGTGCATTATTAGTTTGGTATTTGGTATCTATGGTATTGAGCTTATATATACAGTATATATATATATATATATATATATATATATATATATATATATATATATATATATATATATATATGTGTGTGTGTGTGTGTGTGTGTGTGTGTGTGTGTTTTTATTCTATTTGTTTTTTTGCAAATCTCATTAATCTCATTAAT